AGTTTCCACCAAACAAATTGTGATTTATCAAAAAATAAAAAAGGGTTTCAACAAGCTACATTTTGGTCTAGAAAGTGATTGTTGAAATCTTGTACTTGCTATACTTGAATGGGATATGGGATATCATTATCTAATTACTTTGATTTATCTTATGGTATGACTATATCATTGATTTATCCCCTCTTTACATCTCTAATAGGGCAGATGGATCTTCTCCTCCTCACAGTCTCACTCTTATCTCTGCCAACACAGGATTCAATAAGCTGCCTAAATCAGCATGAAGGGAATCTATAGTGAGCATATAGGATAGATGTGGAAGGCTCCAGCCACCACTGCACCATCAACAATCTGCATGACCTCAGCTCTCAACACACTGAGGCTCACCAAGCATCCATCATCTTCATCATCATCACTCTGGGTTGGAAGAGCAGCAGCAGCGGCAGCTTGATGTGTGTATGCAGTCTGCATGCCTCGAGGAACAGTGATGGGGGAGAAGCAGTACTACTGATATGGTCCACAAGGGAGGACAAGATGGCCAGCATCAGCCAACCTGCCTGTGATCGAGTGTTCATCAACTTGGAGCTTGACAATTACCACTGCTTCAGCAGCTCCAAAACCCCTACTGTAGCTCTAAGCAACAGGAGAGACATTCCAAAGCTACTGCCACATCTATCTATGGTTGCAGGATAGTGATGGGAGTAATGGCTCTCTTGACATGATGATGATAATAATAATAATAGATGATAAATATTTTAATCGGATTACCATAAATCTCAAAAGTTTTAAGTGATTAGAAAAAAAGTCTTAATATATGTTTATGAACTCAATCTCTTTTGTGTTTTTGTTTTTGTTTTTTGTTTTTGGAAGAATCTAATAATGATTCTTCCACATTAAAGCGAAGTTTGCTTGAAACAATGATTCATAGTGTGCAAGACATGTCACAATTGAGATTGATTTATCCATACTACCCACATCCAAAGAGAGCTTTTGAGAGATCAATTTAATCATTCCAATCTCAATTATTAAACCTTTTTGACTCGTCCATCAATCATTCTTCTGCGATGCCAATGTCGCAGAGGTTGTTCGGCCGTCCCTACCGCACAACTCCATCAGTAAACATGATGAGATTCCCCTCGAATCATCATCATCATCACCATCAATGGCGCCATTGTTCTCAGGGCCGAGGCTGCAAGGTGACGTAGCTCCGACGTCGGCCGGCATGGCCCCACCTCCGCCTTTGTGCGCCGCGCGATGTCGTGGGCTTCGCTCGGTGCGCCCTCTCGCCCGAGCACTTCACGTGGCCATGTCGCCCAGCCTCTCGTTGAAGGAGGAGGAAGAGAGCTCTGCGTGCACGCAATGCGCGACGTGTGCGATGTTTCTTTGTAATGGGCGAAGCAGTGCGACCACTGCCTTCCCCTTTCCTCGCATTATTTGGCTTCCGATGCTTGCTTTCAAGCATTCCTTTCATTGCTTTCAGAAAGAAAAGAAAGAACCAAGTGTTACTTTCAGCTGCTGTAGCTGTGTCAGTGAACCTTATTACATCTCTTTTTCGGTTGCTTTTATCTGTAGTTATAGTGTTTCCGAGCACTTGGATTCTAAAGGCCTCTCAGCTCAACCTTATTCTTTTCTGTTTTAGTAGTGATTCGATAAGACGAAGCTTTCTATCATATGAGATCAATTATAAGACTCATGAGTTATCGTTGTTAAAACATAATCTTTCAGTATATTCTTTCACTAATTTTTTTATCTCATGCTCTTTAAAAATCGTTAGATAGTATCGTATTCTTCGTATTTTACTCTTCTACTAATAAAACCTAAATATATTTATAAAATTTATAAAAAAATATCAAACCCTCGACTTTTCGCGTATTAAAATTTGTCATCCTTTTAAGACACTGGTTTCATAATTCCAAAAATACTTATCGATTCGTCGTACTCATAGAATATTGGCTTCAAAAATCCAAGAAATACCTACCGATTCCAACAACATTGACAACCAGTGGTGTAACATATTATATATCTCATGCGCAAAACAACCATAAGCTACAAAAAGATTAGGGTTAGGGGTTTAGTCAACGACATGCTTGTGGCTTCAGCTTCGCTGAATCAGTCTTCATCAGCTCCACTACCGATGGGTAGGAAGCTTTGGGAGCTCTCCTTTGAGCTTTGCATCTTTGTTGAGGTCGTCAACAGGAATTAACTATTTTGGTCCTGCACACGAAGATTAAAAGAAAGAACATAGTGGGGATGTCATTTTCTTTGATGGCTGGAGTGCTTGCATTCTTCCTATCAAAGTCATTGCTTGATTGCAACCCCTGCCGGCCTTTGCTGCTATCAGATTCAAAGCTGTCTCTTTGCCCGGCAAATTATTCACCTGTCTATGTCCCACCTGTTTCTTCCCTCACACAATGCCAATTCGATCTCTTCTCGTGCTCCACAGAAGAGTGGAGAGAAAAGAAACAAGAGGAAGAACAAGATCATCCAAGTCCTACTATTCCTGCATCTACCACAGGTGCAGCTCACTCGGGACCTTTAACAGCATCTTAGGATCATGAGGGCGCTATCACCGGAGGCTTTAAGAGCTCCTTCGTGCTTTCTAATAAGGCAGTGCAACTCCAAAGCATTCGAATGGAAGAAAGTGACGTCCATCTATGCTTCCCAGCTTCTCCTTGGTAACACCACCATACAAACCTCTTGATCAAGCATGATCCATACTCGAAGCAAACGTGTATGTATTCATGGTTTGTTCATGTCACATTTTACAGCTATAGAAGCATCGAGGAATCTGAAATTTGTGGTGCAGAAATGGATTCGTACACGACAAGATCAGTGCAAGGATATTGGAGTCATTTTAGGTGGAGAAAAATATGCTACTGCTTCATTCACCTTCCTACCTCTTTCCTCCTCCCTTCTTTACGCTGCAATTAAACTTCCGACATCCTTCTGCATCTTACTGCGCCCAGCTGCCATTATAAGAGTGATCAGAGGGACAGGGGAAGAGGAAACAGCAGCTCGGAATGAGGTTGGTTGTGTGTGGGCAGCAGAAGGAGAATTCCAAAGGGATCGCATTGATCTCTGTCTGCTGAACAGTTTTGAGCGGTCATGCGATTCCTCTGGAATTTCCCATCTGTTGCTGAATGTTCCTCCCTCTCTACTCGGCTTGGAAAGCTCATCGTCCAGGTATTTTGTAGTTCTTTCATGGTAGATCGAGAAGCATTTTCTCACACGGATATCTCGATCTTTTCGTGGGGATTTAGAGTTTCACACGATCAGCATCCTTCTTTGTACTGCTGATCTATTGCTCTATTGCTCCTCCACTCAAACCCTCGAAGAATTAAGTTCCTGAGTTGGCTCTGATAGAAATGAATGACTGTTATCAGGCTCGAGTGGCGATTCCTCGACATGATCTTTACTGAGTTCTTCCCGAAGCAAGAAAACGTCCATGATCCTATTGAGAGACAGATCGATTTAAATGACATGTGAAAACGAATCGTGTAACTCGAGGAAGAAAGATCAGAGAAAACTAACCAACTTCTTCTTCTTCTTCTTCTTCTTCTTCTTCTTCTTCTTCTTCTTCTTCTTCTTCTTCTTCTTCTTCTTCTTCTTCTTCTTCTTATCTGGTATCCATCAGCTTCTGCTGTAGAGAATTTAATGATGAACAAAAGTGGACTCAAGATCGTTTTAGGCAATTTCTATACGAGCAGCCAAAAATGGCACTGAAGAAGCAAAGCTGAAGCGATCTGTAGAATGAAGCAGAAGCTTCGTCGAACCAGTCTGCATGCAGGTGTTGTTCTATTAAGAGCTCCACTTCTTTAATGACCTTAACTGGCATCAAACTATCATTGAACATATGGTGTGGTAGCATTGAGACTCCGGTTCAAGATACAAAGAAGATTCAGAAGAGGAGCTACGTTCCGCTGCGTCTTAATTTGCCGAAACCCTTTTCCCTATCCTTCACACGGCCATGGATGGCCGTGAAGGTATGATGAGTACGTTGAGGGGTTTGTCTTTGAGTGTAGGACAAGTAGGGGAGGGTGTCATATATCCATAGGCTGGGCCGAACCCTACTGCGGTGGTCCTTTGTCTCCCACAGCTGAATTGAGTGTGGCCGGTCTCATCGATGGGAAGCCTTTTGGGACCACCATGATTGATGCAGGATGATCCTCCAAGTCATTCCATGGCTTGCTGCTGGTGGAAGCACGGTCGCTGCACAACAAGTCAGACACGAGAGAATCTAGTCATGATTGGAGTCATAGAAATACTCTCTTCTTTAATTAGTTTATATCAGTTTATCAAAGAAAAAGTTGATGATATGATGGCGTCAGAGCCGACCATCGAGAGTGATTCAATTTGTTCACACTAATCTAATCAACGATAAAGTGACTCTGACTCGTTTAAGCTCTTACTGTCCTAACTAAATAAGATAAAAAATCATCGTCCACATAGGAGTTAATCAGACATAATCTAAACTCAAGAATACACGAGTATCCAACGTGATGACTCAGATGGCTCCAAGGGTATTCCAAAATTGAAGTGTCGAGATGCTACCTGCATTAAGATCATGATCGAAAAAAAAATTTTGTTCAGATCCCTTCGATACCTAAATTGTGAGTTTTTTTCAGAAAAAAATACTCTCTAACATAACGTCGAGGATTAACTTTTCTATATAGCCTTCGAGGGAATATCCTATAATTATTTTAACATTTTTTCTTTACTTTTTATCCATACGAGTGACAACCCCGAACAACTTATCTTGGACTTTTGTCCACATAAGCTAACGGGTGGAGGGGAACCTGGACCTTTTTCCTTCCACGATTGTTTTCGCATGGTGCTTATGTGTCAGACGATGATTGATCGTAAATATATTCTATATCATTTCTAATATTTCAAAAATATCCCTTCAAAAAGTTATAATTTTTTTCTCGCCCAATCTAAGAAGTTTTTTCGTCAACTATTTACAATATTTTATAGATTGATTTTTAACCATAAAACGTTAAAAGACTAGTTTAAAAACACTATATATTGTTTTAAAACACTATACACTATATTTTTAAACAAAATATTTATATCATAATATTTTTTAAACAAAATAATATATAGCACTTTTAAAATAAAAATATTATATAGTATTTTTAATATAAAAACTAACCCATAAAATACTATAAATAGTCGGTGAAAATAAGGTTTTGGATTGGGTAAGAAAATACATGATAGCTTTTGGGGGGTATTTTTGAAGTTTTTAAAATAAGAGGCAATTATTTAGCAATTATGAAAAGAAATATCATCCAAGAAATACCTAAAATAGATAATTATTTGAGAATATATTTTCTTTTAGGATTTTTTTAGGATGACACCATCTTTTGAAAATTCTCAAACCATTACTTTCTATTTAAAAAATCTCAAAAGTACCCTCAAATCCAAAAAGTTTATTCGTCAACTATTTTAGGAATGAGAGTCACGTCAACTATTTTAGGAATGAGAGTCAAGGTCGACACTAAGAGGGGGGGTGGGCTGAATTAATGTAATGGTAAAAATTACATCGGTTCAAAACACCTTCGTATGACAAAATCGGTTTCGACGAAAACCGTTTCTGAATGATTTTTAAATTAAAAGCATACGGAAGTATAGTTGATGTAAAGCAAAAAAGACAGTTTGTAGTTAAGATAAATAGCAGAAAGTAAATACAAACTGATTTATAGTGGTTCGATCGACCTACATCCATTCCTCCGATTCCTCTTCCGTCGAGGCCACCGGCATCCACTAACGATCTTCCTTTAATATGCGAAGATCAACCTCCTTCTTACACCCCTCTTCTTCTTTTCGGTAGCGTTTCTTTACTTTTAGACTCTTTGTGCTTGTGTGTTTTAACCAGGGATGAGAGGGGTATTTATAGGCTTCAAGTTAATTCAAACTTTGAGCATAAAAACATCTCATCCTAGGTTTCCTAGGCACGGGTGATACCACCGCATGCGCTGGGTAATACCACCGCCTAATGTCAGTCTGACACTGACACTACGCTGGGCGGTACCATCGCCTGGGGTGCTGTGCTGTGCGGTACCATCGCTTGTCACCCTGCCAGGGGTGGTACAGCCGCCCAGACTAGCGGTACCACCGCCTGACATAGTATCGAAGACTGTGCCATGACGGTGAGACTTCTTAGGGCACAGTTTGAGCCTCTCATTGGGCCCACCACAGTCCTTACATGGGCCTACCTGACCCATAATTGGGTTGGCCAAAATCTAAACCAAATTACGTGCTAACTACGAAATTCCGGCGAGCTTCCGACGATCTCTTGGCAATATTCCGGCGGACTCCCAACAAACTCTTAAACTTCACGACGATCTTCTTGGCGAGTTCCGATGAGCTTCTCTAGCAAGCACGAGACTTCTCGACTGGTTCCGACAGAACTTTCAACAAACTCTCGAACTTCCAACGAAATCGTGTCCCTGATTCTGGCACTTCATTTTGCTCCATGCCTTGCTATCGTAGTTAATTCTGCACATGTAAAACATAGTTCGATCTAGACAATTAATACTAAGCATTAATCATGTTATCCGACATGTCATTGGTCTCTCGACGCTTTGTCTGATTCTTCGGCGCATCATTCTCTCTTGCGGCCTATTGCCCAATCGGTTAGTTAACTCCGCAACTTCGATATCCTTAGTGCAACATTTGCTTTTCTTGGTCCGATACCCGAATCCACGGCCCGAAGCTTTTTGTCGATACGTCGACCGTTCCTCCGGCCTGACGTCCAATCTTCTGACATGTTTTCCCCCGGCACAACATGAGTTTTTCTGCTTTAATTGTCACATCCTGATCGAAGCATCCTGCGTCACTCAAAACTCAGATTAAAACATAAACACTTATCAATTGATTTCATCGTTAAAATATGAGATTCAACAAACTATTTACAGTAATTTTATTTATCATTTTTTATCTGTAAGATGCTATATAATATTTTTTAAAAAATACTATATAGTATTTATAAAAAACTATATAGTATTTTTATTTCAAAAATATCATGACATCAAAAATACTGTACACTGTTTTTAAAATACTATACAGTATTTAAAAAATTATTATAAAATATTTTAAAGACACTATACAATATTTTTTTAGTGGATAAGAACCAACACACAAAATATTAAAGATAATTGGTGGAAAAAATTTTAGATTTGGACAGAAAAAAAAAAAAGATACCTTTTTAAGAAGCATATTTGAAACATTAAAAATAAGAGATGATGAATTAGGAATTTTAAAAAAGAATATCATCCATATATATATATATATATATAAGCTTATTGATGCCTCAGTCGCCGCCTCTTGTGTCTTCCTTGCTAGGGTTTATAAGGCTCCGTGAGGCGGCGGGCGACCGAGCGAGCGCGATGTCGAAGAAGAACAACTTGGCTAAGCGGAAAAAGCAACACGAATTCGACCTTCAACGTGAGTTTGAGTCTCTTTGCTCCTATCTCGAACCACTCGATCTCTTTTTTTCTACGTTCAGTCGGGTTCTCGTCTAATTCTCTCTTCGTTTTCTACTGATTCGTCTGTGGTCTGCCACTTGTTGGTGCAATCAGGAGAAAAGGAGGAGAAGGAGAAGAAGGCGAAGAAACTGCAAGCCAAAAAGTCCAAGATGAAGGTGAGCACCTCTATCTGATATTATGCAGGCGGTTTCTGGTCTTCTTCCTAGTTCGATACTGGTTTTCATTGGTTGTCTTCTTGCTTTGCTTTGAATGAAATTCGTTGTGGAGGCATGCCTATTTTGAACGAGAATTCATGGTTATTTGGATCAATATAACCTAAAGGCCATAAAAATCTCTTCTTGGTGAGAAATCCGAGTTATTTAAGTTGCTATTGGGCATTTAATTCTTTCTTTTTTGATTATTTTTTCTTGATCTTCCATGCTAAGAAAATTGAGAGTTGATATTGATTCAAATATTCGTGCAACAGAAACATGATAATGAAGCCAACTTCCGGTCGAGAAGTGTTATCGAGAAAACTGATTATTCTCACCTAAGAAGAAAACCAAATGAGGACATCGTTCGTAAGACAAAAGTTGGATTGCTAAAATGGTTAGGATTTTCGTGGGAAGCTTTACAAGAATTAGCTAAAAAGATCTAATAACATGTATTTTCATTTGGCAGCATTTAGATGTTGCAAGAAAAAAATTGTTTAGCATGGCATTAGACATGTTCAAAGGAACCCTAAAGATGTTATGATCGGAAGATGTAATTTGACTAGGATTAATAGTGTGAGGAGAGATAGATGGAGCCTCGAGAAGATTTTACTGGAAACAATAATAATATATTTGAATACTTTCTATTTATATTTATATATATATATATATATATATAGCTTAATGGCGGGAGAAGGTTCATGTTATCGACCCCAGATAGTTGGGAAACTGTAGCTTGTTCTTGTTGTTATTTATGTGGTTGAAACTGTGTTCTCTCAGCTCTGATTAAAACGTCATATAACTGCATATACAATTTCAATTTGTTGGTTGTGTTTCAGGATTTTCTTAGGTTGCTTTAGACAATTCTTATTTAATGTCGAAGTAGTGACCGGATAAAGAAGAGAGATGCAATTCTAAAAAGCTAGTTATTATGAAACTGTTGTAAGATCAGTTGCCAAATGATGAAGCATGACTGATAACCTTATCTTGTTGAGTGATTGATAGAAATAATTGTGAGATGCATGGGTTTATACAAGATGTAATAACATGACACTAGTTAAATATATCTCAACTAACAACATTTTAAAGAGCCAATAGGAGGATATTTCAAAGTACTTCAAGCATATGAACTTGAGGGTTCCTGGATGTGCGAACAGGTCAGAGCTTTTGATAAGTTACCTCTATGACTAAGGAAAGCATTCGTAAGAACTAGATCAATCTACACATCCATGAGCATATCATATTCACTTTAGTTTACAGTTCCACAAATTCCTTTGTTCAAACTAAACTTTGACTATGTTTGTTCTCTTGCAAATGATGTGATTACCAGAAGTGTCTAACTTATCCTTGATAAGAGATCATCATTAAACGTACGTCTGTATTACCAAGTATTGATGCTTTTGATTAAAAGAGGGATGTAAGGGTTCCAAGAATTGCTTCTAGCTGATTGGGAACAAAAAACAAAATGTGTGATATGTCTAGGACGAGTGGTTAAGCAATTTTTTTTGTAGAAGTGAGAAGGGTCATCGGTCGTTGGTCCCAGTTTTAGACTAAACAATTGGATTTTATTTTCAAGTCTGAACCATTTCTATTTTATCATATATAGATGTGTGTGTGTACTATAGGAGTTTAGGATTAGAAATTTCTCTAGTCAGGATTTGTGCCAACAGGTAATAAAAATCTATATGGGGTAGGTTAGGTAATAGAAAATTTGTTATCGGATCCGACTGCAGTTGGCTATAATGCAATATATATGTCCACCAAAAGTAGCCTCAACTGATAGCAATATTCTCTATTTTCCCAATTGTGTCAACCATTTGAAGGTTAAGTTGGGAGCTCCACCCATAAAGACGCAGTACAAACAATTAACAAACAAGAGAATTGGCTCCAGCTGGTGGACTGGTGGATATGCTAGATATTTTGCAGCATGGACCAACTTTACTTTTCTGGGTATGAGCTTATAGGCTGCTTCCACATTATTGCTTTGACATAGTAGGTTCACATCAACTTTGCCTACTATCCTTTGTTTTTTTTTACGTATTCATCAAGGAAAAGGCATCTTCATTTTTGTCATGTTAAGTTGTTCTTGAGTTTCATTATTCAACGTTTGAAAGATTTTTTTGTTTTTTTGCATCACATGTTTTGTCACCTAACTTTTTTCTTCTTTTTGCTGGGAAGACCATTATTATCTTTAAACAACTTGCCAGTAACTAATTTATTCGTTTTTATTAAGAAATGTGTTTTCTTTTGTTTTTGTACAGGTGAAATGTGATGTCTGATGTGTTTTCTGATTTCTCTTTTGTTTATTTACTTCAGGTGGATGGTAGTGACATGAAAAATAAGAAAACCCGAGGTGTATTCCATGTCGGGAGGAAGAAGGTGAAAACCAAGTTGTCAAAATTGACCAAGGCTAAAGCAGCTCAAGCAATGGAACTTGACAAGTAGCCACTGGTATCGGTAGCTTTTTGAAACATATTTTTTGTTTTCGGTCATAGCTCTGTCACAAAGCCATTTAACCTTAGATGATGTGATGCGACTCACCCTGGTGCTAATTTTCTTGTCAATCTGCGGCAGTGGATTTGAGTTGGCATACCATGTCTTGGTTGTGGATTTTGCTTTTCGTTAACTGTAGCATTTGAATGGTTGATTGGCTTCCTATTTGTATGTTTAGCCTCATCAGTTTTTCATGTTGCTGCTCCTCCCACATCCATTTTTTAATGCGTCTATGATTAGGCTCCCACATCCATGTATGTTTTTGCATATCTTGAATTGTGATGGAATTTTGTTGCATTATTATTCGTTATCATTATCCCGGCTTTGGATGTGACCAATTCTCACTTCCACCTTTTTTTTCTTACTAGATAGTGAAAAAAAGGCTCATATTCCGCCACAGTGATATTGTATGTGACACTTGTTCTTCCGTAGGTCACAGCATCTCGATAAAATTCCTTCGATACCAAATTCAATAAGTTTGGACAGTTTGAAAGTACAACATTCGAGAAGATTAGAGGTTGTTAAAGTGACATACTTAACAATTTGTCCGATATGTCAAGGAGTTCGATTCTAAAACAGTTTTGAAAGTGGATGAATTCGATTTTATACTTGTGTAAATCTAAGCTGGGGTCGCATTTAAGTACCAAATTCAATAAATTAGTAGAATATTAATAGAAAGTTAAAGATTGTCAAAACTGATATATCAAAGGTGTTTTATAATGATTTATTACAACAAATTGAGCATTTGATGTGCGAGATTATCGCAATGTAAGGACATGAAGAATACATCCAATCATCAAACAATATTATGGTGGACACCAATCACACACGCAGTGAAATCGGCAACATTGAGTTGCAAAAATCATATCTCGATTCATCATATAAAACCTACCGATCAATAACATAAATTTTGTAATTACAAGGGAATGCAGTGACTATTTTTGCAAAGAAATCGATGGCAAGCAACTTCAATTTTCTTTTCAGGAGTAACAATCATATGAAGATCGGCAGACTCAAAATTCGATACCATTCAGAATAGCAATTGGTTCCCAAATAGCAACTTCAAACGACACAACATAAGCAACCGAGAATTGCAGAACAAGAAGCACCAATTCCGATCCTAAATGAGTAGTGACACAGAGAAGCCCAACTATTGAGATACTAGATGAAAACAGAGATCCGAAAGGGTACCAACCGAATCAAGCCTCTTCGTAGTCACCTTCCTCCTCATCTTCATATTCAACATCATCAGCCGTGGCGTCCTGATACTGCTGGTACTCGGAAACCAGATCATTCATGTTGCTTTCCGCCTCGGTGAACTCCATCTCGTCCATCCCTTCCCCGGTGTACCAATGCAAGAACGCCTTCCTTCGGAACATAGCTGTGAATTGCTCGCTGACGCGCCGGAACATCTCCTGGATCGAGGTCGAGTTTCCGATGAACGTCGATGCCATCTTCAACCCGGTGGGCGGGATGTCACAGACCGTGGATTTCACGTTGTTGGGAATCCACTCGACGAAGTAAGAGGAATTCTTGTTCTGAACATTGAGCATCTGTTCGTCGACTTCCTTTGTGCTCATTTTGCCGCGGAACATCGCGGACGCCGTCAGGTAACGCCCATGACGAGGATCGGCAGCGCACATCATGTTCTTGGCATCCCACATCTGTTGTGTGAGCTCGGGGACCGTGAGAGCTCGGTACTGCTGGGAGCCACGGGAAGTGAGGGGCGCGAAGCCCACCATGAAGAAGTGAAGACGAGGGAAAGGAATGAGGTTCACGGCGAGCTTTCGGAGATCGGAGTTGAGCTGCCCGGGGAAGCGGAGGCAGCAGGTGACCCCACTCATGGTGGCCGAAATAAGATGGTTCAGGTCGCCGACTGATGCGCAACAACGGAATACAATCGAAGATCTTAATCAAAACTGCACGTAGGCGATCTAATGGATAATAGCAAATGCTGGAACAGAGATCTCTTACAGCTGGGGGTTGTGAGCTTGAGCGTGCGGAAACAGATGTCGTAGAGAGCTTCGTTGTCCAACACCATGCACTCATCAGCGTTCTCAACCAGCTGGTGAACAGAGAGAGTGGCGTTATAGGGCTCGACGACGGTGTCGGACACCTTGGGCGATGGGAAGACCGAGAAGGTAAGCATCATGCGATCTGGGTACTCTTCCCTGATCTTAGATATCAGGAGCGTCCCCATGCCGGAACCAGTTCCTCCTCCCAGCGAATGGCAAACTTGGAATCCTATCGTACGTACAGTAGGAAACAGAATGATTAACCGAACCAAAAATAGAAGGTAAAACGGGGGGAAAAGGAAGGAAATCACACCCTGCAAGCAATCGCAGTTCTCCGCCTCCTTCCTGACGACATCGAGCACCGCGTCAATGAGTTCCGCGCCCTCTGTGTAATGCCCCTTAGCCCAGTTGTTACCGGCGCCGGACTGGCCGAATACGAAGTTATCGGGCCGGAAGATCTGGCCGTACGGCCCCGATCGGACGCTGTCCATGGTACCGGGCTCGAGGTCCATGAGCACCGCGCGGGGGACGAACCGGCCGCAGCTGGCCTCGTTGTAGTAGACGTTCACCCGCTCGAGCTGGAGATCATTGTCGCCGCCGTACCGGCCGGTGGCATCGATGCCGTGTTCCGCGCAGACCACCTCCCAGAACTTGGCACCGATCTGGTTCCCGCACTGCCCGCCCTGGATGTGGAGGATCTCCCGCATCTTGACGCGACTACAGTGGCAGAGAGAGAGAGAGAGAGAGAGAGAGAGGAGATGAGAGTGAGGAAAGGGGGGGGAAGGAGCGGGCGGGGTTAAGTAGAGGGAGAGATGACGGAAGGCGACGGACGTTTGAGGCGGGTTTTGGTTTCTTGACGGCGGAGGGGTAACGGGCGTTGGATTTGAGGGGGAATTTGAAATTTGAAATGGTGTTAAGGTTTAAAGCGACCGCCTAAGAGAGAGATAAAGAGGTCTCATTGATGTTTTCGGAGCCGTTGCTTCGAGTGGCCGTCACGTGCGGCTCGCGGAATGACACCGAAAATAACGGGAACAATTATTATTATTTAGACGCATTTATGCTTCATGCGATCTCCATGGAATCGAATCATGGTAAATAACCATGATGAAGCAGGCACGGTTGCGTGCCTTCCCCTTCACTCGACTGCGGATTGCACACCTGGCTCACGATGCAGTGGAATCCATCATTATGGCAATGATTGGATTCATGGGCCCGAATCGACCGCATGATTCGTTGGTTACCCCTACCCGAGAAGAATTGAGCTTCCATATATAACATTAATTAATTTCTATTAGATAATGCTCATAAAATTTATAGCTGATCGAAGGGGACAAAGGACTGCTCAATCCCTCCCCTTAATGCCAGGCTTCTTGCTCCCACTTCTCCACTTGCTTTACAGCCTTGGCCTTCCTCGATCGAAGCTCTTCCAGCTCCCTCGACGTGTAAGCTGGAGGCAAGTCGCAGGGCTCGGAATCACTGGTCCGCTTCACCATCGACTGCATCAAGAACTCCTTCACGCGCCCTTGCTCGCGACAAGCCACGGATTCCAGGCACAGGTCGGTGGCTTTCTCTGGGAGCGTTGGCTTGTACCGCAAGAGATTGGCGTACTCGGTCAGTAAGTGCAACATGTACTGGTACACGTAGTCCATCTTCACTTCCTCCAAAATGAATCTACTGCCCTCCTTCCCCATGGCTTGCGCCTGCACTCACATGTACAAGCATCAGCAACCATCGATTCGAGTCTCTGCTTTGAAGGTGCAAAACGAGTGTTACCTTCTTCTGGTGTTTGTTGCCCCAGTCGACTGCGAACTTGATCGACCTGCACTTGGCGGTCTCTCTTATGGGCCAGTAATGGCGGCCGGGAATCAGCCCCCTCGTCATGAAGTCGTAGAAGTGAGTCGTCACGAACAGCGCCGGCGAGTCGCAGGCCAGAGTGTACTTCTCGCTCACCGACCATGCCCTCCCCTCCACAAAAATCTTGTACCTGTACATGCATTGCTCCGCCAGGTTTGACTCCTTGAACCCGTTCTGGGTCTCTTTTTCCCAATTCTGCAACAGCATCAATCAGATTTAGAGCCATAGACTCTGCTCTGCGTGTTGATGATGGACTAATTTGATGCAGTTTGTCCACTTCAATTGCGGGAAAATAAAAGCCATATATACCTGCGCGAAAACACGAGCATTCCAGTCATGGCCAGTGGAGAGGTTACACTTCAAAAGGTCCTGCCGTTGCCGGGACACCCCCGGATTGCCTTTCCAGTAAGCATACGGCTTCCTTTTCTCCCACTTCACCCTCTCATTCGCCTCTTTCATCTCCTCGCTTAGTGGCTCCCATGGCTTTATGTTGATCTCTGGCCTGCTCGTAACCAACCATTACACCCCACTCAGACAACGCGTATAGCATGAGGATGCTGGCATTTACAAGCGAGACCAGAGCACGAGTGAATTACCAGCCCCAGAAGGACCAGTCGGGGAAGACGATGTCCACCGTGGTGTCGTCCTTACAGTAGCGGAAGAGCGGCGGCGGGGGCGACGTCTTGTAGTCGGCGGCCTTCACGGTCGGCACGTCCTCGCAGTTGAACATGAGGTCGAGGTCGGGCAGGTAGCCGGGGTACCGGTTCGCGAGCTGCACGAACCCCCACAGGGTGAAGAGATCTCGCGTCTGGAACACCCTGTGGTACTGCTCCACGTAAACTCGGCCGTCGATCACCAGCAGCCGGAAGGCGGCTAACTTCTGAGCACTCTCCACCATCTCCCTCGTGATCCCGGTCGATCTCCACGGCCGGAGGTCCTCGTGGATCCATCGGAAGTAGTCCGGGCACGAAGGAGGGGGCTCGGAGCTGGCGATCGGCAAGGGAGAAGGAGAGGGGGACGGCGACACAGATGGAGATGGATAAGTAAACCTTCTGCAGTACTGCGTCTGTGCAGTTGTTTGGTTAGGACAGGTTAAGGTCACACGTCTGGAGTGTGATCTGTGATGGCGTCGATGAGACCTGGAAGGTTGCTGTCCCCACGAGGTTACCATGGTGAAGGTCTGCATACACACAAGCCCTAAGTTTCAACCTTGCATCACAAAAGGTAATAAAACTTAATATCTTTTAGATTCTTACTCAAAGCTTGACCAAATCTTGTGTCGGAGGATTGTAAGAAATCCTCTACAAGCATAAGGTAAGTCAACCATTGAATCATTTGACCGCCTTATAATGAAGTCTGACGTAGGTATTTTTTATCTAAAAGCATATTATTACTTTAGCTTATCTTAATTGGGAGTAATAAAATGTGAATAATGTTGCATCGTAATTCGAGTCAAAGTTTGACATCAAAGTTTGCGTATCTGTGAAGTTAGCTCTGTAGCTATGGAGTTGACCGATAGGCAGATCCAAGGCATATGAATGAAGATTTTAATACAACATAGAAAACATATAGATTGGCTCTACAAAATGGAACTCCACAGGATGTCCACTTGTCAGTGCGGGTTTCAATCGGCCCGTTCATATCCCTAGCAGTGAATGATTGTGACATATATGACTATATTGCAAATTTTATGGTGTCATCATCAAATTTTACGGGCCATCAAGGCAATAACGATATGAGGAGGAAGCTTCCTGACACAGAATCTTTGTGATGACCACTATTCATGTAACACGTTATGAATCATATGGATGTGAATGACGAAGAAACATGTGGACGTATTTTATGATTTTGGGGAATGATGATATGGTAGTGGCACTATGAGAAGTCTTACATCCTTGCATCACCACAGTTGAATTTTATGAAGCATGACAACGAAAGGCATGTTTATTTCTTGAGATGCAACATTAGTTTCTGTAGCATCAGAAATGTTTTAAGGACATGGCCGCGTGGATTGCAGGAGGAAGAAGAACACCGGTCTCTAGGGATCGAAAATAAATAGGATAATAAATGAATCAGAATCAGATGTTATACGTAATATTTTTCTTCTTTTATTTTTCTAGATTTCTGTGAACCAGTTGTCTTCTTGTTTTCTTTGGTTGGAGAAGACATGAAATGAAAGATGAGAAGCATGGGAAGGGAGGGAGCTTACGGTGCCATCGAACCATCTTGAAGAGATGAAAGCAACAAGAGCAAGAAGCACAAGGAAGAAGACGACGAGTGCCTTCGTCGACGACTGCACCGCACCTACGACGCCCTTCGCCCTGCTCTCCAGTGGCTCGTATGCAGCTTCCTTTCCGCACCACCACCAGCTGCTCATGTTGCCGTCTCTTGGCATCCCATCTAGCGAAGCATCACCGGACTATCGGAGAGAGAGAGAGAGCGAGAGAGAGAGAGGCGTTTGGATTGGAAGGCTGTGGTGCAAAGGTTAACAGCTTCGCAGTGCCATCTCTCGCCTTTTGACTCTGCGTCAGAGCGTCACGTCAAACGTGAACTCCTCGGCGTGAAGGTTAGTTGATCAAGGTGATCAATCGCGGTGGATGCGACACGTGTCCTAGCCATTGCACACAGGAAGAAGATGTGATTTGACTAGTCGTTGATGTGCAATTAATTACCGTTAATTCACTTTTCTGTAATAAATAAAAATATATATATAATAACTATTATTGGTAATGAGTCATTTGTTTTTACTTGTAAGTATTTCTTGTAAGCGATTAAACACCTGACAAGTTAGACATTTAAGAAAGATTTAGGTGTGATCATGCCATATTCATTTATGATTGATATGAAGATTATTACCTTGTGATCCACTAATCATATTTGATTTAGGCATGATTTAGGTGTGATCATGCCATAATCATTTATGATTGATACGAAGATTATTACCTTGTGATCCACTAATCATATTTGATTTAGGCTAGATTTAGGTGTGATTATTATGTCATTAATTATTTCATGCTTTTGCCAAGAACATAATTATGATTATTATTTCACTTAATATTTGAAATATCCTTTTCCATTGGTGAATCGATACAATTGCAATATTTTTATACTATATTATAGTTTTATTAAAGTACCAAATACTATAATCTAGTTTTTTTTTATAAATTTTATAAAAAATACTATAAACATATTATTTTTACGCTACATTATAGTGTTTTAATAATATTATAAAATATTAATAATATATATTACATTAATAAATTTAAGTTGGAATGAATATAAAAAATAAAAAATACCTTAAAAACTCGTGATGTTTTATACCATGAAAAGTAAGTATTTTGCTTTTAGTATATTATAGTTTAATGTAAAATAAAAAATCAATTAATAGTTAGGATATACATATTTTGCCTGTAGTGTATTAGAGGTTTGACAAAAGGAAGAGAGATAAGAAGAATGGTAAGTTTGCGTGGAAAGAGATACGGGCATGACTCGCCTTTAGGACAAATGGAAACCCTAATTCCATGTTTCAGACACCTAAAGACAAGGAAGTAAGAAACTAATGCGAAGGTTTCGGTAAACGCCATCGGATTCCCAAGTCGAGATGAGAAGCTCGTGGGAGCTGAAGTCATAGATGGTTGCAGAAGATGGAAGCGTTTTTTAATCGGTCAACGTCGAAAAGGAAAGATAAGCCAAAGATGACCTTACAAAGGAGGAAGCAATAATCAATTTAGTAGGTTGGAAGATCGAAGCGGTTTGTAATTGGACGAGCAAAAGAAACTTGGCGAGGTCGTCTTGACATGGACATGGATGACGACCACGAACTATTGGAACAATAGCCTTGGAATTCAATTTTGGCGTGCAAGTGGACGATCTAGATGGAAAGGAGCGTATAGCAATCAAAATGGACATTGGAAAGAAAGAAGAAAACACTAGGAATTCAGTTTCGTACCACGAAACGAAGCACCTCATTTGTGTTGTCACGAACAGGTGGTTGCCTTGAAATGGATTCCGATCACAATCCTCGTGATTGATTCAAAATCCATCCTTATTGAGGGAAAAGAAGCGATCGGAAAGGAAGCAAACTAGTTATATGCGAAAACTCTTCCGGATTCACATCAGTGTTCAAGAAACTACGAATGCAATTCGCAAATCAAAGCGCTCAAGCCGATGATTCCGATTACATGCCTCCAAAAGTTCGTCGGAAACCAAACCAGAGGAAATGGACACGAGTAATCCTCGAGAGAAAACAGAAATCAAACAAAGTACCGAGGCACAGCGATCTAGCTTCTCATGCTCGATCGAAGAGGAGGAGAACCGGGGCTTCGCGATCTCCGGATTAGGAAGCAGGGATGCTCTGTTCTAAATACATTCCAGGGGAGATGATGCCGATGGCGGAAGCAGCCGCAGTCGATCGATAACTAATCCGAAGCCAAGCTAGGGATCGCCGTCCGCCTCACTCCGTCGCTAACTTCAGGATTCGTGCTGTCGTTCCTTCGACGGTCAAAGCTGTTTTGATACTTCGTGCGCAGTTGTTCCTCATCGGACGGTCAAGACGTCTTTGCAGAGCTGGGTTTGTGACGTCAGAGACGTCGAGAATAAGCGTTTTTTGCACCCCATTGTTCACCTGGATGGCGATTGGAGGAAATATCAACGGCCCCACCACAAAAACTGAGTGCCCATGCAATACGTTTTTCTACGTGTCAGACTGACACCCAGGTTATACCGCATGATAACTGGCCAACATCTGTGGGCTCCACATAAAAACCGCATCGAGTACGGGGCAAAATTAGACATATAACCCATCGAAATCCACCTGCTCGCATACCCGACTTGTAATTGGAGGCGCAGCGGGCACGCTAGCCTGATCACAAAGCAGCTGAGTCAGAGAGGGAGACGAAAATGGGTAGAAAATATTTATTTTTTATTTTTTTTCCTTTTACTGAGAAAAACCAGAAGATCACAGAAAGAGTTGAAGAAGAAGAGATGAGAGATTAGAGGAAAAGTGAATCATTTTGATATGTGGAATACAAACTACCTATTAAGATAGATTTTATTGCATGGAAAAGTTGGACTAATAGTAGTCATTATAAAGATCACATTTCAGCCAAACTTGGAATTCTGTGACAACACTTTGTGAACTCTCATGAACTCTTTTCGAGGGTGGAAGATCATTCAACCCATTTTTTGTGTGATATTAACCATCTAAAAGTCGTTGTAAGTGTTGCTAAATTTGAATCCATTGAGAACAATGGCATCATCAACTTGTGAAGATCTCACATCATCCAGGTTGAACAAGCTTTCCCAGTTGTCCTGTTCAAAGGAAAACCAATCAGCAAATAAAACCTTAGGAAGGTGATCTGCTGCCATCCCTTTTGGGGAGCCATCACCAGTGCTGGGAGTCACAGATTGTTCGGAGTCCTCCAGGCATGATAGAATATGGTCATTTTGTTCTTCAAGCTTGGTAAGCCTTGGGATGGACAGATTTAGAGCTGAGTGCTTCAAGCTATGAGTGTCTGATTCTTGAGGTTTTGAGGTTTTCTGCTTCAGGTAGGAGTTCCAGTAGTTCTTCACTTCATTATCAGTTCTTCCAGGCAGATGCAGTGCTATTAGTGACCACCTGAAGAAAAGAAACATAGTTATATGCATACATTTATCTTAATTAAAAGGAAGTACAACCTCATTTTCCTCTCTTTCTCTCTCCTTCTCTAGTAAATAAATAGGAATGTCTAACTAAATGTTCATGAAAGATGGCAAGACTTGAATTTGCTCAGACATGTTTGATGAATATATAATTTATGTTGGTTAGAAGCTTGATTTCACCATATTTCCCTTTCTTTCAGATGCTGTTCTTAAGCACTGGTCAATGAGGTTTCCATGACCCAAAACTGGACAAAAATGTGCCTGTATCTGAATAAAGGTTTGAAGGCTTACATTAACCATCTTGTGAATGATAGAAGAGAAATGCATGTTATTGCCTCAATTCACATCACCTGAACTTTGACATGGCCAACATCAAGCATGTCATCTTACTCATTATTTCCTTATATATCTTACATTATTTTCCCTATGAGATTAATATCACAACCACACACATCATTTTCCTGATGTGTAGTAATAGTTTCAATCAAGTACAAAGACTTGTTTTGATGGTATCAAAAACTAGGACACCTCCAAGTGTTCAGAACAAGAAGCTCAGATTCAATCTGGAATCAGAATATGGCTTACTTGTTCCCAATTTTGGACTGAAGCTTCAGAATTGTTTCCTCCTCCTGCAGAGAAAGTTTTCCGCGTTTCAAACCTGGCCTGAGGTAATTGATCCACCTCAGTCTGCAACTCTTCCTGTTTCGTCGCAAGCCTATGAAAGCCACACAAATGTCAAAAAGCAGAAAAGAATTATGTTACAAAAACACTTCTTATGCATGAAAATTTGGATATGATCTATCTGTCTTGCAGTTGCAGCAGTGATACTGTTTTATTTGCTGAGTAGTGTTGCATAACATGAAAGAAGTCATATGTGGAAGTTTCTATGGTAGAAAGATAAGGATTAGAAGACATTAATCTTCTACATCTGGACTAATTCTGATGCACAAAGCTAATAGCTGAAACATGACAAGCTCTATAAGCGGATACCGTAAGCATTTGTGTACTGAAGGATGAATCTGAAATGCCATCAAAAGAAGAAACAAAATGTTTCTATTGTTTGTAAAAGGTAACTTAAATTAAGCCAAATAATTCTGCAGGAAAAATGGTACAAGCAAGTGAAGCATAAATAGGTGGCCACCATGAGCCAAATGCAAGAAGAGCTCACCAGCTTTGGCAGGAACTGCACTCCAACAGCTGACTCCATGCATCAGAATGTAATCTCTGAGCTTTTGATCCTCATCTGGTGACCATAACCCCTTCCTATAATTCACCTCTGGTTGCTTGCAGCTCTTGTACTCCATTCTCATCTGGCAGCTACCTCAATGGTATAGATGATGAGAAGAACCAGATCTCAGTCTGAACTCTGCTTGTTGCTCTGTGCTCAGATAAGAAAGTTTAGGATTTAAAGGGGTGACTGATGCTACTTTGCATTGATTTTATGCATAGAAAACTAGTGTAGTGCCCACTTGCAGTAAAGAAACTAAGATAAATTAGTGTTCTAAGCCTGGCATTCTTCTGTCACTGGTCATGATTTGTTACCACCAACTGCACAAATTGTTCTTACAGGAATCCAAGAGTCCTCATTAAATTTTCACAAGAACTCACTCAATGGCATCAAAGGGTTGTTTTTGAGAGGAAGATCAGATCTTCTTAGTAGATAAACTTTTGAAGTCTATCATTATCTATCTATAACATCTAACTCTTTGATGTGCCAGTTTAACTGGAACTGAAAGCTTGGCCTCCTTTATTCCTCTCACTGAATGGCTTTTTTAGTGATCTCATCCATTAACCTCTCTCTTCCAATTACTATTATCACAAACTTGTTTGCCTACATGGATATATCTATCCATGGATTTATTATACCATACATTTTTGGTGCTTGCCACAATAATCTTTACCCACTAATCAGGGGTTTGTTAATTCTAATTATCTTCTTCCTTAGGACAATCAAGAACATCCTTTGATAAAAAGTCCAATTTACAGGAGGATCAAACCTGCAGCTGACAAATGCTACTCTACTTATAATCCATTTCCACACTTTACTGCAAAGCAAGATTCAACAACATTTCTCATGTCTGCTCCAACAACAGATATCTGAATGCTCTCTATATGTTCAGATTCAATATTATGGCAGCTGAGCTTAGCAGAAATCTTACTGAGGCTGAAACATTAAAATCTTGTTGTACATATAAATCTGGAATGAGCAGAGATCTGCTTCACAAATTCTATCTGATGTTTCTTCATGGAGGTGAATAAGATTAATGTTAATATGAGGTGACAAAAAAACTGAGTTCTTGTGGTTGTAGAAAATACTAAGCATTGTGGATAGAATTACTGATTTAGATATCTGAGGAGATCAATAAACTGTAATTTTTTCTTGGACAACTTACTAGCTGAGACTTCACACTCACTGTTATCGATCACTCCCAAGAAAAGGTATTTATCTTCATTTAATCAGCCCTATATACTTGAATTGTTCTCTTCTTTATCATGTTTGAATGACCAAAGTAAAGTCAATTAGCCACTTCTTGCAGATTCCACCTTCCACATAACCTGGTTAGAGAGTGGCAATAGTTGACTAAGTTTTAACTGGCTGTCAGTGTCAACACAAGAAGCCATTAGAGCAAACCAAGAATAATCTCACAGTACCACCAAGACACATAGTTTAAAGACTATGCATGCTGGAAATGTGATCGATAGTTCTTGTGGTAGGTGACAATGATTTGAAAACAAGATTAAACTTGCAGCATGACTTAATTCCCATCTTTTAAGTTGATGATCGAAGCTGGTTAAGTAGGATTCTGCATAGAAAAGTGAAGATTGCAAGCCATTTGATGGTTAAATGGTACACTAAAGTGGCATTTTTCTTTATTTAATTACTGATGTAGATGAGTGAGGTAAAAGATGTTTAATGTGTTGTATGGAGAAAGTAGTTAAACCTTCTGTCATCACTTAAATCAAACTAAAGCAAAATAATTATGATAAGAACAGTGAAGCATGCAACTGAGAATTTCAAATATCAACAACTTATCTCTGTTCTGTTCATTGACCTCCAAGAATCTAATTCTTTTTGCTGCTTTTAAGATGCAACTCTCTATCATCAACCAAACCTCTCAAATGTATTCAATTTTGTATTATTTGGGTCCAAGAAGTTTCTTAGTCTGCATCATTTGTTTAGGACACGAAAGCAATCTGAGGTTCTGAAGGAAAAAAGAATTGTAGCTCTCAAAGAACCCAATCAAAGGAACTGTTTGTTCTCTTTTTCTTTTTTTTTTTCTTTTTTTTTTTTATGGTAAGGGCATGTTTGTCTTCAAGTGAATGAAACCATGTGATTTCATTCCCATATTATTTTAATATTTTTTCTGCCTTTTAGTTCAGCCTTATAATAGTATTTTCGCAACTGAATAAATATCGTACTTCAAAATGCTCCCTTGTAACGTGTATAAATAGGGACCATGAGTTTGATATCTAACGAGAAGAAGTCAATAAAATTCATGAAGTATTGGTGTCACATCCTGGATTTATAAAATAATAATAAATCAGTAATTTATTATTCATAATTTACATAATAAACTTTTTTTTTCATTTGAATTTAAATTTTTATCTTTATAATAGTAAATATTCTATTAATTAGAAAAAGAACCATATTTTTTGTAGGGTCACAAGTTTCTTCCACCCAAACTTCAGATCTATTACAAATTAATAGATTACTTTAAAAATAAATATAAGATAAAAACATATCAACATATACACATGCTCGTAGGAATCTCAAAATAATCATTAAAATAATATTTAATATTCATAAAATAAAAATAAATATTAATAATTTAATAAGAAATGATAATATATCGATTCATCATAAAACTTAAGCATTAGAAAAACGATGATAATTTTTTTACATAATAAATAAAATCAAATCCATATCGCACTCCCAACAACGGATGAAGTGGTATCCCTCACCCGCCCAAGTGGGGACACGTTCCTCCCGACAACGGATGAAGGAATTGTCTAACCATCACGTCTGATGGCTCGCTAACCCCCGAAGGGAATCACTATACCTGCCCTCGATATGTATACTTAAACATCCATGATCATTCTTTTATACTTATCCATTCACTCACACGTATATCAAGAAATCAATATGATTAAATATTTTTAGAGATCATACTTGATGTAAATCTGCTAGACTGTGTTCATTGGTGGCTCCGCACTGGTGGGCCCGTAGCTACTTTTACAGGTTGCACTCCCAATGTGAACTACTAGTCTAATCACATCTACTACTACATGATACTAATCATATCAATATCATAAACATAAAAAAATAAAAAATCAATAATCATTTTCAAATGTCATCTTCAGATAAAACCTTTAAATTCATCAAATCACAAAGGCATGAAACATTAATCTCTCAATAGTCCTTAATCAACCAAAACCCTAATTGGAATAGCTCAATTGACTTAAATCAAACTCAATTCGATTATGATTTAACGGAACCAATCTCAAATCCTTATAGAATTGGTCTAGAATCACCATAGACGGATCTAATTTAGATTTTATTGATCTTGATTAGGTCAAATATGTTTGAACTAGTCAAGTTAGTCTGGATTCACCCTAAACCAGCTTTAACTGATCAAACCTGTTTGATTTAGTCCATCAATAAGCTCAAACTAATAGAGAGGGAGAAAATTGGATCATATCGTATAGTGCTAACCTAAACTGAATCAACCCACCTGAGACTTGGATGAGTCACATATACTGCATATACATATTCTAAATAATAAGTTGATTTGAGGTACGACGAGCTATATAAAAGGAGCGACGATATGTCTAATGCCAATCGCATAGCTAGACAGGCTTAACTTCATGAACTAGGCTAAGCCTCACTTATAAGCTGGGCTAAGCCTTACCATTGAACTAGGTCATGATTGGCTCACGAGTTGGTTCTAGACACATGAGTTGGGGTTTTATCTGACCACATTGATTGAGTTGTACCTAGCCGCATGAGCTAGCCCATGCATGGCCACACAGTTGGGTCGTATCTTACCATATGAGTTGGGTCATATATGACCACATGGATTGGATCATACCTATGCACATTAGTTGGCTCATGCCTAGCCACATGGTTGGGTTGTACCTTACCACATGGGCTGAGTCATACATGGTCACATGGACTATATTGTATCTAGCCACATGGGTTGGGTCATGCTTGGCCACATGGGTTGAGTCGTACCTTACCATATGGGTTGGCTCCTACCCGGCCACATAGGTTGGGTCATGCCGAGTCACATGGGTTAGGTTGTACTTGGTCACATGAGCTAGATTGTACATAACCACATGGGTTGAGTCGATTCGATCTGATCGATCAACTTAAACTCAAGTCAGACCCCAATTACTCTATCTTATCAAATTAGATTTCAATATCTAAAATTATTAAAGAATGATTCAAATACATTAATTAAAACTTTAAATTGATGATCTTAAATTTAAAACTAATTATAGAAACTCACACATAATTTTTGAAACATAGATATATCCAATTAAATAAATTAGAATTATTATGCTAATCCAAAAATAAAAAATTAAATAATTAAATTAATATTAAAATCCACTTAAGCTTAAGAGATCAATATAAATCAAATAATCATTCTAACATCACAAAATAATTATCATTACTTACTAATCATGAATTTCAAAATTAAAACATCATTATGCATAAAAAATTATAACAATCTCAACATCAAGATTTCAAAATATAAATCAAATCTAGTTAAAAAAGAAAAGATTATGCATCTTTTCGAATATCTCATCCTCGATATCATCTCCTCGGAAGGTCCTCTCCTCAATCCTCCTATTGTTAGGCTTAGTGCGGAATGAGGGAGGAGTAGCCCTATTTATATAGGAGAAAATGAGATCTCCCCGAAAGATAAATAATAATTTAATTTTTTTATTTTTAATTTATTTTTCTTTTGCTTTCACACACGAAGAAAGTAATATAATATTTATTCTTATAATTCACACACAAAAATGGAATGTAAACTATTTACTTCCTAAATATAAAATCACTCATTAAGAAATAAATTAATTAATAATTTAATTAATTAACAAAATTCTTAACTTATCCATGTGATTAAGGAAACTAAATTTAATTATTTCCTTAACTATAGTACACAAATATAAAAATTAATAATAAAGTAATACATCATTTATAGTAATTAATTTATGTTAAGGGAGAAATTATCGATGATTATATTTAGAGGACAAATTTGAGAATAAATTACTTGGGAAGGAACAAAATTTCCCTCATTAATATGAAAATCATTGACTTTGAAAAAAAAATAATATATATATATATATATATAATTTTGTCTCATTAATATATATTTCTATGATAAAAAAAAAGTTCATTATGATATATGATAATTAGTACTTATTTAAAAATAATTTAACTCAATAACAACTATTTGAGTAGGCAACAAATAGTGTAGTACTAAATAAATAGTATTTTTAAAAATTAAAATATTTTATTAATAAAAATAATATAATAACAATAACAATATGTAACATTTGTCAACATATTACGTACCAATCGGTGGTTCGATAGGATGGATAACTCTCTAACAATTGAAAGTATATATATATCGTACTCTCATCGAATTGATATTTCTCACTAATATCATTAGTAGAAGATCATTAGTTACATCTCATTGAAATCATATTCTTATGATTCGAAACAAATCATATTATCCTCCATCTAAATCCTCTCAAAACCTCACCGCGTTAAATGTTCATTGTAATCTACCGCTTGTAGAGCGATGAAAAAGGATTCAATGGCACATAATTGGCCACATGGATCCGATCACATCTAACACAGGATCGAACTGATGGAATGAAGTGAGGACACGTATGGGATTCTACGAGGCCATGGACCTAACACTTGTCCCAAAGAGGAGCAGAAAGCTCACCATCATATTTCTCTTTTGTGGTTGTCGATTTTGATTTGGACTCACTAATCCACCAACCTGTTTGATACAAATATAACGTGTTAAATGGTTATTTTAACTCGACATGTTGTCATTTCTTTTTCTTCAATCATAAAAAAGGGGATAAAAAGAAGTCTTTTCGACCATTTTAGGAGCATTCTAAAATTAATTTGGTCTCTCTGAATTGGTTGTTTCTTTATTCAAAGAAAATTAATGGGTTGAAGTAGCTTTAATTTTATTTTTTATTATTTTTGTGCAATTATCGGATCAGATATTTCTTTCTTGATTTTTTTTTTTATGGTATACACTTCCATGAATGGCATTTATAGAAAGTTGGAATTCATGGGAAATTTTTTTTTTTTTGAAAGAGGTGTTCTTTTTTTTCCTTTTCTTTTCGATCATTGTCGTCTTTTTATTATATTCTCTTATCCTTTTTATTGGATCATTTCATAAAATGAATTAGTTCAATTATTTAGTTTAATTGACTTACAAAAACCTCTCTATTTGATTGTTTTTGTTCTTAAATCTTTAATTGAAACTATATTTTTATGTATGAGTTGGAATCAATTAAATTTGAAGTCAATTTGCCTCCGTTATAGGCTAACAATATATTTGAACAATGTTTTAGTAGAGATGAGTAAGCCAATTCAAAAAATTATGATCCATAAGATTGATCTTCTTATACATAGGAGATTGGATCGTTTCACAAAGTGTAACTCATCTCGTAGACGAAGAATTAGATCAAATTCATCCATTGAAAGAGAGAGAGAGAGAGAGAGAGAGAGAGAGAGAGGAGGATGCGTTATTCACATTTAATTTGATGGTCAATTATAAATATCTATTCGCCAAAAACAAAAACAAAAAACAAAAACAAAACTTTTCCGTAAATTACCCAACAAGTTTTACCTTGAGATGGCCTCTGTTAAGAGGGAGAGATCATGAAGCTGTGAAGAGGCTTGCATTCATCCACGCTTGCTGCTAACTCACCACAACAATCTCTCTCTCTCTCTCTCTCTCTCTCTCTCTCTCTCTCTCTCTCGTTGGCAAAGGAAACCATAGCATTTGACTGCTAGCTATAAAAAGAGATGACGACATTAACTACATGGGGGCAAGTCATGAATTGCTCTAACGCTTACCTGTTTGAGTTCTGAGCGTGCAGAGAGAGAGAGAGAGAGAGAGAGATCTCTTCAAGGCAAGTAGCACCTCTGAGGTCCACCCATCTTCATGTGCAGCTGATGCAGTGATAGCTCTGTATCATAGGCCAAAGATGTGGCTATTGCAACCAACATGTTTGTTCGCGTGCCTTCTTCTGCGCCTGTCAAAGCTTCATCACTTGAACCTGCACACCACAGAATCCTGCTGTAGGCAGACCTCAATGTGCATACGTACGGTTTGAGCATCCACTGTATAAATGTACCGGCATCATCCTACCCCATTCTCCACAAGCAATCCTCAAGAACGGACCAATGAGACCTGAGATCTCCCATTATCATAGTCTTATCGGCCCTCGACCCCTTCGACTGTTGCACCGATCTTTCAAGCACCATCCACAGTCCCCGTTCCTCTATGAACGGGCAATGAGCACTTCTCCCCATCATGAGCCAGCACAGCAGCAACGAGGAGGAAGCGTTGTGGCAGCACTTGAAGAGGAGAAGGAAGAGAAGGCTCGCTGTGAATGGGACTTCTGGCTCTCAACCGTGGTCTCCCCGTCTACGGCTGCCGGAGAGGTTTCTGACGCCATCGGCGCCATCGAGTTCGACCCCACCGACCGCCTCTTGGCCACCGGCGGCATCGCCAGGAAGATACGAATATACAGCCTCGGCACTTTGCTTCCGGAAAGCCGCGACTCGAGCCTGACCTTCTCCGATCACTCGACTGCTTGTCTGTTGTGTATTTGCACGCCGGCGAAGCTCAGCAGCCTGCGGTGGCGGCCTGACTCTAGTGGCCGCACCGTTGGCTCGGGTGACTACGACGGCGTCGTCACGGAGTACGACGTGGAGCGCAACGTGGCCGTCTTCGAGCGCGACGAGCATGCCGGGCGCCGCGTCTGGAGCGTGGACTACTCCGTCAGCGGGGACCTCGGCGCGTCGGGGTCCGACGACGGCACGGTGCAGCTATGGGACTCGAGGTGCGCGAACGGCGGGCGCGTGGCGGCCGCGCGCGCCGGGGGGGCGGTCTGCAGCGTGGAGTTCGACCCCGAGGGGGGGCCGTGGGTGGGGGCGGGGAGCGCCGACCGGCACGCGTACGTGTTCGACGTGCGGGCGGTCTCGGCGGGGCCAGTGACGGCGCTCGGCGGGCACGGGCGGGCGGTGACGTACGTCCGCTTCGCGCAGAGCGGGCGGAGTGTGGTGACGTCGGGGACGGACGGGTCTCACCGGCTGTGGGAGTGGGCGGATGGGAGGGAGGTCCGGGCGTACCGCGGCCACGTGAACTCACGCAGCTTCGTCGGCATGTCTGTGTGGCGAGGGGCGGGGCTCGTCGGCAGCGGGTCGGAGAGCAACGAGGTGTTCGTTTACGACCTCCGGTGGCAGGAGCCGATATGGGTGCGGGGATTCGGTCCAAGGAGGGAGGAGGGGGGCGCGTTCGTCGGCGCGGTGAGTTGGAGGCAGGCTGTGTCGGGGCCTGGAGAGGGCGCGCTCGTGGCCGGCGGATCGGACGGGGTCTTGCAGGTCTTCGTTGGCAGGAAGAAGACTGAGTCTGAGTGAATTGCAACGCTGCATGCATCATTAAGGTTTCACTGCATGGTTCGTAGCCCTGTCTTCACGTAAGACATAAAGCGTCACGCTCTGACGAGTCTGAAGTGTTACTGTGAATAAGATTGGAGCAAATGGAAGATTTCAGAGTTGAAATAATTTGTTAGATTTCTGGCAAAACTATTTGTAATAATTCTTTTAGGCAAATATTGAACTTTAAATGCAATGTTTGTTACTATGATTGACAGAGTTTTATGCCGAGAAAAATAGCTTATTAATAGGAAAAAAAATTCAAGACTTGCAGTAAAAATGAGTGGTTCACCATAATTTTGAGACGACCTAAACTGATAGAGAAGGATCCAACTTAATTATCAATTATGACTTAACGATAACAATTCTTGTATTATTTAATGATCAAACAAGTAAAGATCAGCGGAGGATTCCAAATTTTCTGTGTTTTTAAAGCAACATTATTGATATCAGCTCAGTCAAAAAAATAAAGAAATGAAAAGTAAAAGGGGGCGTTGCGAGAATCGAACTCGCGACCTCTCGCACCCAAAGCGAGAATCATACCACTAGACCAAACGCCCTGTTTTGTCTTATTATTTATTTTTACAATTATTAATTAAAATTATTTAATTCAGTGATCAAAACACAATAGATTATGACGGCACTCGACGGCGTTGATCAATGTGACTTCGATGGGCTTTTCTGATGACTTGGGATGAGCCCGTTGCAATCCATGGCTGTTTCATTAAGATGCTGTGCATACTTTGTTGAAGAGTCGTCTCCGTGTGACACTACTAATACTAATCGAATACTGATCCATGTAAGAAAAGTCATTACAGTAATATTCTAACGGCTAGCGAAAGCGTGGATTCCAAATTAACTACAAAATATTTGATTTAAAAAGAGAAAAAAAAAAATCTGCTGGACTCAACAGCCCCCCGTCAGTCAACCCTCTTCAAGAAACGACAGGAGTTCTGATCTCAGATCCTCCCCCTCCTCGTCCCATCGGACGAGTAGAATATGCCTACCTACCACTGCTTGCTTAAAGCTCGTCATGTGAATCATCTTCGTCACCGCCATCGGAACCACCGGGTGCGCCGCCGGACCTCTGATACACTGCAGAAATGATGGGGCTGCAAACAGCTTCCACCTCCTTGAGCTTCTCCTCGTAGTCCTCCTTCTCGGCGCTCTGGTTGTCGTCGAGCCACTCGAGTGCGTCCTTCAGGGCCGCTTCTATCTTCTCCTTCTCCTCGTTCTCGATCTTGTCAGCCAGCTTGTCCTTCTCGTTGACGGTGTTTTTCATATTGTACACGTAGGTCTCCAGTTGGTTGCGCGCGTCGATCTTCTCCTTCACTTTCCTGTCCTCCTCGGCGAACTCCTCCGCCTCGCGAACCATGCGGTCGATCTCTTCCTGGCTGAGACGCCCCTTCTCGTTGGTGATGGTGATCTTCTCGGACTTGCCGGTGCCCTTGTCTTCTGCCTTGACGTTCAGAATGCCATTGGCATCAACCTCGAACGTGACCTCAATCTGAGGTGTGCCTCTGTTTTGCCACGACAAAAAAGACTTCACTTTAGTGACAGGAAATAAGAATCTTGAACATGTAATCCGAAGAGCACAAGGAAGACAAACCTAGGTGCCGGTGGAATTCCAGATAAATCAAACTTGCCTAGCAGCCTGCAATCCTTGGTGAGACTCCTCTCGCCTTCGAAGACCTATACAGCAGTATATATATTAGGGGGGGCAAAAGATTCGTGCGGAGTTCCTAGCAACTTGGAAGGAGGGAAAGATCAGTTACCTGGATGGAGACGATGGTCTGCTGATCTTGGTAAGTCGTGAAAACCTGTGATTTCTTGGTTGGGATGACTGTGTTTCTTGGAATTAACTTCGTCATTACTCCACCAACAGTCTCGATTCCGAGGGTAAGAGGTGCCACATCCAAAAGAAGAATGTCTGCGTGGGACGATGACGGAATTAAGCATTCAAGCAATTAAAGATGAAATGTTCAGAGAATGGCAGTGCGGATGATGGACGATCGTTACCTTTGGTTTCTTCACCACCTTCTCCGCTCAAGATGCTTCCTTGCACAGCTGCACCATATGCCACGGCCTCATCGGGGTTAACACCCTTGTTTGGTTCCTTTCCATCGAAGTAATCCTTTAAGAGCTGTTGGACCTTCGGAATCCTTGTGCTCCCACCAACGAGCACGATTTCATCGATCTGGTGCTTCTCCAGCCCAGCGTCTTCCATAGCTTTCTTGACAGGTCCCATGGTCTTCCTGAATAGATCATTGTTTAGCTCTTCAAAACGGGCACGAGTCAGAGGCTCTGAGAAATCCAAGCCTTCGTAGAGCGATTCGATCTCGACGCGGACTTGGTGCTGGTTACTCAGAGCTCTCTTGGCACGCTCGCACTCCCTCCTCAACTTCCCGAGCGCACGGTTATCCTTACTGATGTCCTTCCCATGCTTCTTCTTGATCAATTTAATAAAGTATTCCATAATTCTCTGATCGAAGTCTTCACCTGCGGAAGGAAATGGAATGATGAATTAGCTACAAAAGCATGGCATGTCAAACTTAGCTATGGGCTCCTAATTAGCAAGCCAGTAACTCAAGAGACCGCATTTTCCTAGTAAATCTCATCGAATACCCAACACAATAGTCAGTAAAAGAGTATTAATCCAGAGACCAGCGTTGCTATATTCCATCCTACGAATGAATTTGCAGTAATCCTAGAGGCCACTATATCAGTAGTCTTTTTGAGTATTAATCCAAGAGAGACGGAAGTTCAATTGCAATCATCTTTTGTGCTTGTCTTCAATCTGATATCAAGACTGAGCTTGCAGAGAGAGTAGTTTTCCGGGGATAACAATATTACCTCCGAGATGAGTGTCGCCATTGGTCGCCAGTACTTCGAAAACTCCATTATCAATGGTCAAGATGCTAACATCGAATGTACCACCACCAAGGTCGAAAACAAGAATGTTCTTCTCACCACCCTTCTTGTCCAGACCATATGCTATGGCAGCAGCAGTGGGTTCATTGATTATTCTAGCCACATTCAAGCCAGCAATTATTCCGGCATCCTTGGTCGCCTGTCTTTGAGCATCATTGAAGTAAGCTGGAGGACAAATAAGGACGCAGATGAGATTACTTTCTGGGAAAAAAAAGCATAGAATTAGACATGAAGGAAACCTTTATACCTGGAACAGTAACCACGGCATCCTTAATTTTCTTTCCGAGGAAAGCCTCCGCTGTCTCCTTCATCTTCGTCAGAACCATTGCACTTATTTCCTCGGGACTGAACACTTTAACTTCCCCGTCCTTGATCTTGACTTGGATATAAGGTTTACCATCTTTGTTAACAATTTTGTATGGTACAAGTTTCATGTCCCTCTGTACTTCCTTATCCTCAAATCTGCAGAATGAGAAGTTTTGAGCATCTAATAACATATAGAACACAGAAAGGCCTCCAGTAACAGATAATTATGAAGAAAAGGAACTCACTTTCTTCCAATTAGTCTTTTGACATCAAAAATGGTCCTTTCAGGATTCACAGCTGCCAGATTCTTTGCAGCCTCACCAATCAATCTCTCAGAATCAGTGAACGCCACCCACGAAGGGGTAATGCGGTTTCCTTGGTCATTGGCTATGATTTCCACATGGCCATTCTTGTAGACACCAACACAAGAGTAGGTGGTGCCAAGATCTATCCCAATAACGGTTCCCAACTTGGTGGCCTCTTCTTTAGCCACCGAGAAAGCAAATAAAGATCCTGCAAACGTATACGGTAAACCGATAAGTCTCTGCTTTGTCACCGCTAGATAGTCAGGCATTTTCAGGAAACAGAATCGAACATCCTTATGATTCAAAATGAACACTAAGCTTACAGACAGCTCAATTTAGGAGAATTCACGGAGATTAAGAAGGCAACAGACTTTCAAAACATTGTTCAAGTTCAAGAGAATCAGCAAGCTTCGGCCACGATAGATCCAATTAGTTGTCCGCATATTGTTCTTGCCATTTGATTATGATCATTGCCACATGAAAATTGTTGTAGTGTTCTGTTTGTGGTTAGATATTGAAATGGTTACGATTCCGCAGAAGCTACCCACGTGAGAGACAACGGAAAATGCCGTCAATCACCTTCCCAGGATTTTCTTTTTATTAGCATTATGCAGACAACTCGAAAAAACTTTTAAGAAATCAAAGAAGAGAAGATTATATAAGCTACTTTTCAGAGAGAATTCTCAATCACGTTCTAATCCAAGATCCGATAACAAAATCTGACAGAAACAAACAACAATCAACAGAGCCAAAACATTATATGATCTATATCTGCACAAGTATAGCAAGCTTCCCTCGCTGTAGATCTTATCAATCTGGATCTAGAAAATGAAACAGAAAAAAGGGGAAATCAGATCGGATTCCCCGCATCCATTCACCAAGGCCTAGAGATCAAGACCGAAGCAACCAGATCAAACACAAGCGGAGACCGAGACGCCGCGAGATCAGAACAGGAAAACATACCGGCGACCAAGAGGCCCAACAAGATCATGGAACCGCGATTCCGCGACGACGAACCCATAGTCGCTCCCCTCCTTGAAGCTTCCACTCCGCCGAAACGGCCAATAAAACACTCTCTCTCGATCAAGAGCACTTTCGACGGTGCCTCGACCGTAATATATAGTGGATTCGGAGTCGGCGAGCTAGAACAATCTAGATCCGTTTCGACCACTGGGAGCGAAACGAACATGTCATCTCGCTTACGTGGACCAATAGGCATTCAATATGTGAGAGCGATGACCAATGAGCCAGAGCCATGTTGTTGGGCCGACGAGAGCCGTCCGTTTCCAATCTCACGTCCGTGAAGCCGTCACGCGTTCCCTCGGTAATCGGCCTGGGATAGCTGGACCCCTACGCGAACTTTAAAGGTACCCACATTTTAACTACCCTGCCTGCCTACCTTCGCTGTGGTTGCAGGTTTCCATGGGACCCACCTTGCAATCATCTCTGCTACCATAAAACTAATTTAAATTTATATAAAGAGAGCTATTCATCACAAAATGATTTAATCAAAATTGCATTCTTTATGATCAAAAGAATGACTTGCAGTTCACAACATACAACTATGATATAATCCCAGTGGTCAAAGGACTCTTTATCAATGACGTTAATATAATATAATATGGAAGCATCCGAAAATATAACCACGGAATAGATTTCTAACAACCCATCTGCAGACAGCATGTGGGAAATTGACTATGTTTCAAAGGAATGTTGTGACTCGCTCAATTTTTTTTTTTCGTTTTTTTTTATTTTTATCTATTTTAATGTTGATAATATTATTTAATCTCATATTGGTCGAGAAGTATGAGAACCAATGACGCATAAGTCCGTCAGATCTCCTTTACTCTCAAAGTGATAAAATCGTACGCTTAATAATCATATCGATATATTATAAAAAATCTCTAAATGTACTATCAAAATTGGTTTAAAAATTTTTAATTTTTGTTATTATTCTAAATTATTCGAATCCACCTCTTGACTTCCAACGAATTTTGTCGATCATGTATAATTTTTTAGATTATTTATCAAATATTTTATCTCCACTTTGGTTGAAATCAAACTCTCTTTACGTGTTATACAATCGAAATATAATTTATGATTTATTTTTTAAAAGTTAATTTTTTTAATTAAAAGTATGAAAATATAATTTACATATTTAAAATTTTAATAATATTTAAAAATCACTCATAACAATATGTATTAGTGATTAATTTAAGATGATATTAACAATATAGTATGAATGAATGGTTTAAATATTTGAAGATATATATGTGTTTGCTCTAAATATTTAGTGGAAATATACATGAAATATATATTTTTGAGGGACAATTATGATATCTATCAAATTAGGTTGGTGCTATTTAAATATAAATTAATTTGTGTCTTGTATACTAGTTTAAGTTATTAATATAATAATATTTATTAAAAAACTAACATGGGCATATTAACATTGATAGATAAACGATGATCTAACTAGCACTTCATCACTATTTAGAATGATACACGATCGACATCTTAATATCATATTATCAAGATAAATTAATTATTGTAATACTTTAGATTTGACGTGCCATAATACAATGATTGTAATTATACTTAAGCTAATTTTGATATTGGATGAGCATTTATTTAGAATGCCCCTATAGCAGTTTTTCATGTTTACGTCGAACACTCCTAATATATATTTAGAATTAATAGAGTCTATTTCGATCGAGAAAGATTTCAATTTGCTCTAAATGAGTGTCTTAGTTCGAACAATCAAATTCTAAATTAGTAAGCGTAACGTCTTCAATTGAAATTTTATGTGGTCGTGAGAATGAGAGAGATAAAGACGGAAGAACATCAATCAAAAACTAAACCAGATATGTGATGATTGTAGAAGAGAACTTTCCATGTCAATAACATGTTATTGTAGTTCTACTCCCCAACTACAATGCCAAGCATTCAACCATAAAGAAGTAATTGCACCTTATGCTGGTATTGTGACATCAACACATCCCCCATCCTCTCTCCTTTCCCTGTAACACTACATCTTTGATCAAACTATACATCATTCCATATCATCATAACTAAATATCAATGAAAAATCATCAGCTTGAGATTATGCAGAATTCTGGATTCAAATTTTGTATTTGTATTTATCTTTAAAAAAAATAAAAAATAAAGAAACAATGAAAAAGACACCTTCCTGAAAAGAATAGCCGAACAATAAATTGTCATTCGACGAGAGGATAATTTATTTTCTCACCGTTTCGACGACCCAACGACGCCACCGTCTCCCGGCATTGGCTCGAATGCTGCGGGCCCCAAGTGCGATCTCACTGTGAGGCCCTCCGACTCGTACAGGGCAGGTAGGGGAAGAGTCGAGCGAGAAAGTAGGCGCACTTCCACAAGCAGCGCCGCTGTCTCCTCCCGTAATATGCGCCACGCCCAACTTTTCGAATCTTAAGTCGTTGCGTCGGTCGTCTGGTTTCGCCATCTTGCCCACCTTCCCTCATGTCAGAAAGCTACTGGACTATCATGCTGCCCTCTGCACCACGGACCGCAGCGGATCTTTTCATTAGTTCCTCAAAATATTTCTTTTATTTCTTTGATCGGCACCCGCGCGGGTACCTGCCGCGTGACCTGACAAAGTTCGGTGGGTCCTCGAGCTTAATCGATCACAAGGCAGATACGTGTCACAGCGGCTTGGGCAGAGCTCGTCACCACTCCTTTCGCTCTTTGGAAAACGGTTTGATTACCCACCTAGACACGCGCGACGTTGTCGTTTCCTAAGTCATGGCGTGACTCAACGTTCCTTCTCTCCGCTTCTCTCTCTCCCGCTCTCTCTCTTCCCACCGTATTGATCTGCGCGACACGAGAGGAAAACGGCCTCCCCAAGCTAAAAAAAGGTTTAGAGCGGATGACGAAGAAAAGAAGAAGAAGGTAACCGAGAAGTGAAAAGGAACCCTAAAATGAACAGAACAGCTTAATCTTCATCATCGTCGTCGTCGTTCATCATGAAGAAGAGGACATCCCTCGGCCTCGTCGCCCTCTTCACAGCTGTCACTCTCCTCCTGACCATGAATCTCCAGTTCGAGCACCTCAAGGTACTCCCGCCACGGATCTACCCTCCATTCACTGCTTTCCTTTGCTTTTCTCCTTCCTTCAATGCTGATGTCGGTGGTGGCGTCTCTCTGTTCCTTCCCAGATGGACGTGCGGCAGCACGAACCTTTCGTGTCTACGGAGGTATATGTTGTGATGCTTTCTCCTCCTTTTATTTTTCGAGGCATCATCTCATGATATGGATGCGGGTTACAGAGGCCGTGGAGGAGCGCGCTCCAGGGGCTGCCCCGCGGCATCGTCGAATCGACCTCGGATTTGGAATTGAGGCCTCTCTGGAAGAGCACCTCCTTCGAATCTAGAGCAGTATACTAAATTTCTGACTCTTGTAGCTAATCCTGTCATTTTATTTAAGCATAGCATATTTGCTCTTTGATCCATTTCTTGTCGCTATTAGGTGGTTATGATATTTCTGTTGCAGGCTGTTGAGTTTGTCATATACCGAGGAGAGGATGTATAAAATGACAAATGGTCATATAAGTTTCTCTGCCTAATGCTAATCACGTGTCTAGAAATTATTTAATGTGGATCGATCTGGAAATTTTCCATTATAATTGATCCAAATATTATCATCTGTCATGTGAGTATTTGTGAATGTTGCTTGTGTTTTGATCTTTGCTGTACGGTTAGCATCGCCGCATGTTTGAACTATTGGATCAAATAATTTAGTAACTTATAAACGGCATCACTGATTTAAACCCATCACTGGTTTACTTGACTGTTGCGAAGATGCTAATTGACAATTTAAAATGTGTTTCCTATAAAATATCCTTTCATATTGAGTTCATTTTCTTCTTACAGTTAATATTACTACCAGACTCCTAATCTAAATCACTGTTTTTATATATTTCTGGGACTTAAATATTTGAATGAAATGTAACTTGAGAACTTTATTGTATTTTCATATATCTCCTATCATTTAGATCAGTTGCCTTTGTGCCATTGAGCTCATGAATGGTAAGAGATGAGGAGGGCTACATTCTTCTTCTCACTCGCAGGATCTATCGCTTTACCATTTATATCCAATGTTTTGAATATTCAATATGCAAGTGAAATGCACATCTTGTTACAAGGCTGTTGATCCCTTTGCAGGAAACTAGTGAAAACTACTCAGCCCTTTTGGCAATGGCTGTCGGCATCTTGCAAAAAGAAAATGTGGATTGTACGGTTCGTAAGGTGTGCATCCAGCATAGAATGTTTTTTGTTTAATCTAGGGAATGATGTAAACAGTACGCTCTCTTTTCAGTTCATACATAGCTGGTAAATGCTTTACTTGTTTGGTTCAGTTTTTAATAGAAAATTGCTCCATAATACTCTTCCATTATGATGGGAATGTGGATGGATGGCATGATCTTCAGTGGAACAACAAGGCAGTTCACATAGTCGCTCGTAACCAAACAAAATGGTAAAAACCTTTGTTCTTTTTTAAGATACAATCTTGTCTTTATTGTGCATGATTTCTCTTGGATGCTTCTTCCATGATCTCCTAGGAATCATCTTCTTTTTATTTCTGTTTAAGACGAGTTCTGAGAAGAATACCATGGAGTTTCCTCTTTCTGTCTGATCTTCTTTTTTCTTTTATACGTCCATCCTCATTCTTCTTGTTATGCTTGTGATAGATAGAGAAAGTAGATACTTCCTAATAATGCCCAGTATTTCCATTTATATTTATTGCTTGTTCTGGCATGTTCACGCATCAACACATGGACTTGTTTCTAAGTTTTTCTTTATAGTTGATTCTTCATCACAGTTGCTACAAGTTAAACTATGTATATTTCTTGGTACTTTCATGATCTTGTTTCATTCCTGCAGGTGGTTTGCGAAGCGCTTTTTACATCCAGATGTTGTATCTGTTTATGACTATATTTTTTTATGGGATGAAGATCTAGGAGTGGAGAACTTTCATCCTGGAAGGTATATCTGAGTCTATTACTGTTAAATGATTATATGAAAGACTCAATATCTCATTCTTGTGACACTACTTCAACTGTTGAATTTCTTGAACTCACAAGTTAATTTTTCATCTGGTCTCGTTCTTATAGACTAATGCAGTTATTGAAGTTCTTGAACTTACAAGTTAATTTTTCATCTGTAGCCGATACTTGCCTCCTTGTATTAACATAGTTGCCACTGGTAATACCACTTCAAACAGTTTTCGGTTGTTAGTGCTTTGAAGAAATGAATGAGGAGATTGTATATTCTAAGTTGATTCTACTGCATATACTGATTACAACCATTTTCTTGCTAAAGTCACGCTAAGGAACAAAGCCCACCAAAAATCTTGATCCTAGACTCAACTGAGGCTTAATAGCTTCAACAAAGTGTGCCTTAATGCACTTAATTGGAAAAGCAATAAATTGTATGCCTTATGTTATTTATCATTTCATTTGTCTTTGTAATTATGAGGCGGATTGCTTTATTGTTTATTCCAATGGGAATTTGATTTGCTAAGAATAGGATAAATTAATGTATGGACAATCATCATTGCACTTCTTTTTGTGAGAAGACAGGAAACTGATCTTGTTAATTTTTTTAATTTTTTCTTTTATGTCTTTTTTTCTTTTCTTGTTATTTTTTTTATTATGCTACACTATATTTCATTGGTTTTACCAGTCTTCCAGCAATTTCATTTTGTTGCTGCTGAGGTTTTGTTGAGCTTGTGTAACACAAGTTCTGTTTCATTACACTTGGCTTGTTTTGTTGTTGCATTACTTTTATTGCTTTTCTGTTTTTCTCTTGTTTGCTTTTGCATTACTGTAATAGCTTTCTTATTCTTCCAAGATATGAATCCCAACTTCATGTTTATAAGTTTTCCAATGAACTCAACGGTCTACCATTTATGGTAGTAAACCAATATTGTTATCTTGGTTAATTTACATTCCACTGAATAGCAAATTACGTATTGTTTCATTGTGTGATTTTAATTTTTAGATGATACATTCAGTGGTTCTCATTCTAAATCACAGATATTCCTGTAGAAAACATTTTGGATGCACTTATAAATTTTACAATGATTGCACATTCAGGTACTTACACGTAATGTCTTCTGAAGGTCTGGAAATATCACAGCCTGCTTTGGATCCTGATCTCTCATCTGATATACACCACCGGATTACTGTCCGAAATAGAATGACTAAGGTTCACAGGTAATTTAGTAGTAGTTATCTAACACTCCATTGGAGCACAAGTTTTTTCATTGTTATTGCTGCAGTTTTATATTCAATTTTCTTCTGTTAATAGACGAATCTATGATCAACGTGGGAGTCTTAGATGCTCTGATGAAAGCAAAGGACCTCCATGCACCGGGTAATTCTTTTTACATTTCTTACAAAATAATTAAGTGTATATTAGAATTCTCACTACACCATAAATATATAAAGTTAGCATGCACATGTATTGAGATATTTTATGGTTGCATAATTTTCTATTTCTCTTAGATATCATCTTGGCGATGATAATTTTTTGATCCCCATTTAAAAAATAGTCCTTGCCATACCTCCTAATTCTTTAATTAATTATCATATCTTTGTTGAGAAGTCGGACTATATATAGATGAACCAAGTGGCTGCAAGTTTCTTTCATTTGTAATAAACATAGTCTTCTTAAATTGCCTTAGTATGTAAATAGTTAATACTAGTCATAGGTGCCCAACAAGCAATCACGTGAGTGATGACACGTGTGACTTAACACGCAGTGTTTTTACTTATTATATTTTGGCATTTTATCATTTTATATTGACTATTGCATATATATATATATATATATATATATATATATATATATATATATATATATATATATATATATATATATATATATATATATATATATATAT